CTTGCCTTGAACCAATGGGTCTTTCTATGCAAGAGTCATTCGTGTCATAGAAAGAACTCCTGTTATACAAAGTACCTTAGCTTTACTAGATACATTCAATAAGCAAGTGGAATATAAAGCATTACAGCATAAAACAAATGTACAAATATAACTTCTGGATAATTTATACATATTCATCACCTCTTACTAAAGAGTGAATGAGGAACTACTCACTCTTCATGGCTTTGGTAAAGCTAGAAAAGTGAGTGATACTTATCCCTCCAAGTAGAGAAGTTACAAATGTGAAATACACTAAATAAAGAGCCGATCTTCAATGAAGAATGAGTGAATTACATCCCACTCTTCACGGCTTTGGTAAAGCTCTAGAAAGTGGAAGAGTTTCACTCCTCTAAGAAAGAAAGAAGCTCAAGCAATGGCAGTGAATAAATGAACAATGAAAGTAGAGAAAGCTAGACACTTTTGGAGGGTTGCTTCCTTAACCAAAAGATGGAGGGTTGTTTCCTCAACCAACAAATGAACTATCTCTCTTGGTACAAGCAAATAAAAATCTAAGTAGAGACTAACTATATGAGTGGAAGTCTAAGCCTCCATCCAAGTTCTCTCTACTAGTTCTTGGTGTAGTCTATGCCTTACAAACCAAGTTCTAGTCTACTACAAGAACTAGCTCCCCTCAAAGGCTCCCCAAGAGGAGTATTTATAGGCAAGGAGGAGGGGGGACAAGAGAGTGTGAAGGAATAGTGTATGTCGCCCAAGTCCAAGTGAAAGCCAACTACTTTGCAGCCTGCTTGTGAAGATCGTTCGAACGTTGTTTCTGTTTGTGCTTTATAGGCGTTCGAATGTTGTCTAGCATTCGAACGTGTCTTCTGTCTTTGCTTTATAAGTGTTCAAACACCAGATGGGGTCTGACCTTCTCACTGAAGTGGTCTGTGGTCTTCTATGAAAACCTATTTTCACACTCCACGCACATCTTGACGCTTTGCACTCATCACGTAGTCCTCAATCAATTCAAGTGGACGTTTGAACATGAGTTGGCATTTGAACGTGGTACTCAAGTACCTTAGGGTACTTTGGCATTTGAACTTTCTTGGCTTGGTCCAAGCTTTTCTAATTGTGCTCCAGAATATGTTGGTGTTACATAAAAGTCTGATATTCATTACCTTTAGTCCCTTGTACAATTTATGCCCTGAAATGTCATCATTTAAACTCCATCAAAGTATAATTAGTCTTAAAAAGGCATGGAAACATGCTAATTTTAACTACTAATCAGTTTTCTCGGTGTTTGGGGATTCCTTCAATGGTTATTTGGAGAACTTGGAGAGAGTACTTGAGAGATGTGAGGGGAAGAATTTGGTTCTCAACTGGGAGAAGTGCCACTTTATGGTGACACAAGGGATAGTGCTCGAGCACATTGTTTCGAAGAAAAGGATCGAAGTCAACAAATCCAATGTGGAAGCAACCTCCCTACTCCGAAAAGTCATCAAGGACATCAAGTCGTTTCTTGGCCATGCCAGCTTCTATCGTTGTTTTATAAAAGGTTTTAGTACTTTGGCAAGACCCTTAACCAATTTGCTTTTAAAAAATGTCCCATTTTGTGTGGCCTGATGATTGTGAGGCATCATTTAAAAAACTCAAAAGCATACTCACTTCACCTCCAATCATGTGACCACCTAAGTGGGACTTACCATTTGAGCTCATGTGCGATGCGAGTGATTATGCGGTCGGCGCTGTGCTTGGTCAACGGGAAGACAAAAGGGCATATGTAATATACTACACTAGTAAGACTCTAAATGAGGCATAAATGAATTACACTACCACCGAAAAAAAGTTACTAACCATTTGATAATTTTCGTTCTTATATCATTGGTTCACCTATTATAGTCTACACTGATCACTCTGCTTTGAAGTATCTTTAGTCTAAGCAAGACGTAAAATTGAGACTCATTAGGTGGATCCTCCTGCTACAAGAATTTAACTTAACAATCAAAGACAAAAAAAGAGTTAAGAATGTGGTGGCAGACCATTTGTCCCGACTTGTAGTTCAAGATGCCGAAGAACATATTCCTATACCTGACTCTTTTCCTTATGAACATTTATTTTCCATTCATTATGTTTGTCCTTGGTATGTTGACATTTGCAATTATCTTGCTACAAGACAAATTCCACCGCACTAGAGTCCGAAGGGTAGATGGAGATTTATGGTGGATGCGAAGTATTTTACTTCGACAACCCGTAGTTGTTCAAGTATTGCCTATACCAAGTGATGAGGAGATGCATACCTGAGAATGAACAACGAGATGTCCTTGCATTTTGCCATTCTGAAGCGTGTGGTGGACACTTCCCTTCCAAAAAGACTTCAGCTAAGGTTTTGCAATTTGATTTTTATTGGGATTCGTTAATTAAGGATTGTGTTTTATTTTGCAAGGAATGCGATAGGTGCCAAAGATTGGGTAGTGTGACCCGTAGGAATATGATGCCCTTGTCCCCCGTGTTAATAATTGAGATATTCAATTATTGGGGCATTGATTTCATGGGTCAATTCCCTATGTCTTTTAGCTACCTCTATATTTCATTGGCAGTGGACTACGTGTCCAAGTGGGTAGAGGCTATCCCAACCAAGACCAATGACCACCAGGTTGTGGTCAAATTTCTCAAAAAAAATATTTTTTCAAGGTTTGGGATGCCTCGTGCGATGATAAGTGACGGTGGTTCTTATTTCTGCAATAGGTCATTTACAACCTTAATGCATAAGTATGGTGTCAGGACACAAGGTGTCCACCGCGTATCACCCACAGACCAATAGCCAAGCTGAGTTGGCCAATAGGGAGATCAAGAACATTCTAGAGAAAATGGTGAACCCTAATAGGACGGTCCTTACTAGTGTTTTAACCCTAAAACCAAGCAAAAAACTTATCATCTTGAACACTAAAGGGTGTTACTCAAGAGGGGTCCGTTATTGACTCAAATTATATTTTCAAAACACATAAATGATTTAGAAAATTTTTCATTGAAAAACACCTAGGAACCATACACTGGTTAATCCCAATTCTATTTTAACTCTGATCCTCCTAAGTCTATTAATCCAAGGGATCAGCTTAGGTATAAGTCCTTACCTTTGTCCTAAGCTTAAAGATACATTCGGAGTGCAAATGATGCAGCTTTGACGTTTAATATCATCCATTCAATTATGCTTTCGGATCTTCAATCGTTATAGTATCATGACCATTGAATATATTGAGATTTATAATAGATTCTACAAAATTAGACAATTACATGCATATGATTTAACGCACTTTATATAGAAGTTTAGTCTAACTACTTTACTATATTTACACCTATATCTTTATAAAGAATTTGAATTAGTATCAAATACAACATCTAGTTTTGTTAGATAGTTGAGTAGCCCTAGGATCAAGCTTTTCCTCATCTAGTACAATTGACTACTCGTTAAGTGTAGCTTACTCTGTTGGTCTAACTGCATCTGATTCAGTACATAGGAAAGATGAAAGATTCCAGATCAAAAAAGGAAACAAAAAGTGAGGTGTGGTGATAAAGGGAAACACAAGTCTTCGTGAATAGGAATTCTAAAGTGATGGCTTTTGCTGCTTCTTTGTTTTTTATGGTTGTTGTTTAACATGTGAGCATTCAAATCCACCACCAATCTAAACACTCAAAAAAATGGCGATGATCAATAGAGCACAAACTTCGCCACCATTGTACTATGATACACAATGAGTCCCATCACCTTTAATAGCCTATGAGCTCCAATCATTGTCGCTTTCATTGAGATCACTCATCGATTTCGGTGAGTCATTATCATGATGGTCATTTTTATCGCCACCCTTTGGTCATCATCACTTTCACCTAATCGCTTGTCACTTGCTCCAACTTCTTTTCCATTACTTTCGATGGTGCAGTTGATCTTTATTTTTTACTAATGACGTTTCAGTCCTAGCCCCTTCGTGAAGTTGGTTGGTGTAGTGTGAGAATGTATAAGAACAACTAGGCCATTAAGATATTAGAGGGATAAAATGGTAATTTTGAACTCAAATCCTACCTTTTAACCCACCCCCATATGGGTTAGAGTAAACCATAGAATTAGGCTAAAACATACTCTTTGGTTTATTTTTGGTTGGGATACGGTCCAATGTTGTTATCTAATTCTAAATATAGCTTCCCAAATTTATATGATAAATGGGGCTCAAGTCAAATTATTGTATCCAACGAGTGATATTTACTCTTGTCAATCATGTTGGGAGATACAAATTTATGTTAAAAAATAGTACATTCAAACTTGATTCATTTATTAATTCACATCTAAAAGACGTGTTATATTGAGTTCATAACATGTATTAATAAATATATAAATGAGTCGTATCATATAAATTTTTTAAAACTAAATTTTTTCGTGTTGTGATAATGGACTGTCTCATACTTTGACCTCTAGTAATATCCATTTTAATTATGCAATCTGATCAGAGGACTCGTTTGGTTGCTGTATTAGAAATGAATGGATTAGATAAAATAATCTAGTCTAATACAATACATATGTACAAAAAAGAATATTAAATAGGATATTAAAATAATAAGTAATTTTATCTAGTATTTGACAATATACAAGATAAAAGTTGGATAGTAGTTATTTAATCAAATCGATTGTTTGGTTAGAGAATTATTTTATCGTATTAATGTTATATTAATATATCCTCAATCAATATTTGTTATATTGATGACAGTTTAATTTTACCGGTTGATAATTAATAGTAAATATGGTAGAATATGAGTTGAATTATAATATCACTTCTTTTGATGATATTAAAATATATCTATAATACTGGTTTATTGTACAAAGTATAAGATTATATATTTTTAAAATTAGTATATTATCCTAATAAAAAAAATTAATCGATATCAAATTTACTTACTAAATATTAAATTCAATTAAATAAAAAAGAATAAAATCTAATATTTAATCGTCTCTGTGTCCACCAAATGAGCGCTGAAAATATTCCGAAAGTTTGAAGTGCTGGTCGTGACCGAGAATGGATGCAAGAGAGAATTTGAACAATTTCGCAGTTGGATCTGTGCCATCGTTGTTTTACATTCCTGGTTTCATCACTGAGGGTGAACAACAGCAGCTCCTTAACAACGTATTGTAATCATACCCTTTTCCTCTCCACCTCCACCACTGCCCCACCCCCGGTCTTGCATCAGCTTAATTCCTTCACTTCGAATAATACGTCTTGTTTCGTAGATCTACCAAGCCCCCGTATCGAAGTGGAAATGTTTGAAGAGCAGGAGACTGCAAAATTGGGGTATGCTATGTTTCTATGCTTTGAATTTCAATTCTTTCAGTGTCATGAAGAAATCGATCTGTTACTGCTGATATATAGACATGTAAGTACATTTATTTATCGCTGTTTGTGTATATATATCAATGAATATATTTAAAAGATGCAAAGAGGCATGTCTAGCCATTTAGACCATCTCTAATGAAACCCAAACCCTTAACCAGATTTGAGTAAAAAAAAAGGGTAAAAAACTTGATTTGGTATAGACTTTTCCAATGGAGACACTCAAATTTAAAGGACTATCAAATCTTTAAAGAGGGTGAAATCTCACTATTAAAGATTTGAGTCTCTTTTAATTTGAATAAAAAATAAGTTCCATTTCATTTGATATGTGTATGAGTCTAGCATTGGATAAAGTTTTTAATAGTTTTTTACCCAAATTTAAATTTAGATTTAAAATAGGGTAAGGATTGAAGATCCTCTTATAATTTGTGTCTTTGACTCTATGGTCATGACAGGAGGTGTAGTCCATGAGAAGGGCCTTTTACCGCAAGATTGTAAGTAGGAAATAACAAATTCTTCATTTCTATTATGATTATGAAATAATTATCATCAAGGTATGATTTCAGAATGGCCCACACAAATAAGTGTGCAACTCAGTTTGTTTTACAGCAGTCTGAAATGTAAAAACCGTAAGTTTTAATAGGGTTTTCGGTAGAATACCGTAGAAAACTTTATTTGTACATGATGGTGCTTGTTTTCCATAACTTGCCTGCTCAATTTATATATATAACTACCTTTTTCTGTTGTATATCCTTAGAATATCCAAACACCAGTATAATGCCTGCTCTAGACCTCTGACATTAAATGGGTTGTGGCTTTATTCTGGTCAAAGGTGCAGCTACTGCTGATCTTTTAGATGGTGTTTGTTTGCTAGAGGTCTTACTATGAAAATAAGAATACAAGCTTGAATATGTTAAATTTTAACACTACTATAGTAGTGGAGGACTCTAGTTAATAGTTTTGGTGTGATAAAAAATCAACTATGGGACTTTTTCTGTTTCAGTCAGAAAGGTTTTTTGTTTGGTGTTCACAAAACTTGTCTTTCAACACCCATCATATATGTTTATGCAATACCAGCTATGACGACGATTCTCTAGTGAGTTACCTAGAGGTCTGTGTAAGTCTTTACCTTTCAAGATAGGTCGAGCAAAGAAGAGGTGAAATTTTTTCTTCGATTTCCACATCTTAATTAAATTCATAAAAATTATACTGGAAAATTAGATTATATTTTCTTTTCTATTTGATCTCTATTGTTACTACCTCTACATATATGAGGTGAATGTTAGATGCTTGAGATAGTGTATGACGTTGTTGAGGAGGGGATTTTGGAAAGAAAGGAATGCAAATAATTGGTAGGTATATTTGATTGTCATTTTAAGCATTGCTAGCAGTGATATAACACGCATTGAAGGCATAGAATCTTTCCACAAAGTTAGGTTGCAGATGGTAACCACTTGTTTTGTTTTGTTTTGTTTTTTTTTTTTTTCTGTTTTTGTTTCAGGTTTTATCAAAATAAAAAATAAAAATGCGTTTGAGATGTGTTTTCATTTTTTTTTTAAGGTACTGTGTTTTGAAAACAAGGGCAAAAAATGCAAACAGGAAAAAAAGGTATTTTCAAAAACAAAGAAAAACGCAAACAATGCGTGGGGTTTGGGAAATTAATGAGATTCGGACTTCGAGCCCTGTTAGCAGCAAAAATTAGAGATTTTTCTTGGAACTATAATACCCTTTTCTCAATTATTTCTCTATCTTAGTTGCCTCTCTCAATCGTCTCTTGCTTCTCTCAGTTGTCTCTCTTGCCTCTCTCAGTCGCCGCCAGAGTCTAAAGGGTTCCATTCCAAAACTGAAGGGCGTCCATCCCCCATATGCATCTCTGTTGAACATTGATTTGTCTAGTTCTATGCATATATATGCATAAATTTGATATATTATATACATGTGTATGTAGATCTGTGCATGTATGTGTCTATATGTGGGTGGGTGCGCGTCTGTGGGTGTGTTTGTGTGGGCCTCTCAGTGTGTGTGTGTCGGGTGTGTATATGTGTGTCGTGTGCGTATGTATGTGTATGGAATTGAGTTGCATTTGATGGTTCAGTTGGTGTATTGAGAATTGGAGAAAGAGAAACAAAAGTATGCCTGTATGTGTTGCAAAATGGTGGTTGCATAGTGTGGATTATTGGGTGTCATGTGTGATAGTGTTTGAGAAAGAAAAAGAGATTGTGGAATTGCCCAGGAATCAGGAGATTTTCGTGGGGTATTTTTGGAGTGTTTGTGGGGATTTTTGTAGGAGTAACATTCGTATCTCTCTTCTCTCTCTCCTCTCCCTCTCTGCAAAAAAAGATGCATTTTTTTAATACTCATTTGGCCAAAATAGAATGTCGTCCTTCTTTCCCTATACCAAATTGCTTGGTTACATGATTTATTGCATTAGTGTTTTTCTTGAAGCCTTATACAAAGTTTTTTTTGTGAGGTTTTGAGTAATGAGTAGAAGGGAAACACAAGTTTGGAGGGCAGAAAAAATGGATTTTTCTTTGACTCTCAATTGGGGCTTCAATGGAGTTTCCAAGATGGAAATTTCCACCGTGGTGGCTTATTTGCCATTGTGGGTCAAATGGGCAACATGGGTTTTGGAGTTCCACTGAATTCGCCCAATACACTGATTTGTTTGTGAAGTATGGATTTGTGGGTGTCCTAGAAGAGGAAGGGAGTGTGAAGAAGAAGAAGAAGAAGAAATGTGGGTTTAATAATTAGAACAAAACTTGAAATGGTTACTAAACATGTTTTTTGTTATTGTTTTCATAATTTAATAAACATAAATGACTATCAAATATATTTTATGTTTTCAATTTTTATCACAAAAAAAAAAAGAACTGTTTTTGTTTTTATTTTTTTGAAAACATGAAAACAAAAACGTTACCAAACACACCCTTAGTTTTGAGACTCTCTAACCTTTCATGTTATTTCACTCTTCCTTGGGCTGTCAATGTGATTGGGCTATAGGAAAGAAGTTGGGTGTTGGAGAAGCCTACCTAATGCTAAATATGTGTATATCTTTTTCGTTGGATTCTTGTGGTGCGAAAGAGGAAGTAGTAGAAGGTGTTTATCATCGCTAGCCATGGAAAAATAGAGAGGGTATTTAAATATTCGGCCTTCCAATGTTTGTTGGGGGCGTCACACGATCACAAGGAGTGGTCCAATCATGTAAGCAACTTGGAGATAAGTTTATAACGATAGGTATGAGAGCGAAAGAGGGTAAAGGAGGAGGGACTAAAACCTTACTTTAAGGGGCTACGCAGTTTATGTTGTCAGAGCATTCAACTCAATATCAATTGACCATGAGTATAGAGACCTCTTAAGTCTTAACAATATAAAAAAATATTGGGTACTCTAATCAATCGATTCGAGATACAAACCATCTTTATACACTCTCTCACGTGGGACCGTATAACACCTATGATCCGAAGGTTAATAAATAAGATGAAATGTGGTTATTTGGTGGTGTTGAAAAACATTTTGTTTGAAATCACTTGAATACGCATTAGGAGTAAAATCGGCGGTTAAAATTTTATCGGATTGAACTTTGGGAAAATGAGGAATTTTAGCGTTAGTAATATAATGGAATATGTTATTTGGGGGTTTGAAAGGGCTAGTAAAGTGATGATTTTGAAATTGTGCAACTACGCGTTAGGATAAAATCGTTTGCAAAAATTATCGGATTGAATTTTAGGAAAAAGAAGAAAAATTTTTGAGTTAGGAAATCATTATATTTTATAACTGAATATCTGGAGATAGAAAAAACAGAAATTAAAAAATTTAGAATTCACCAAAATGCCATCCAATGGTGTTCTTCCACCAAGCAAGGAGGAAGTGCCCTCCTCTTGCTCATCATAGCCATGCAAATGGCGATTTAGTGGGAAATTGAGTTTGAGGAAGTGAAGGGTTCATACATAAAACATCAGTAATAATTTGTTTGTGAGAGGCGGGTCGTTACAAATGACATTCTCGGGGGATCTGGGGCATTACAGACTTATCTTATAGATCTGAGAATTGTATATACCCTTAGCGTTGCATGAACTAGTGTCGCACCATTGAAAATTAGGTGGGTTCGTGATCCAGATCGCTCATAGTTGGGTCTCTAATTATAACTCAAATTGTAAAAGGTCTTATGATCTAAGTAATCTCACATCATAATGCCAATCCCAAATCGTAACCTCAACTTGTTATTTATTTATTTTAGTGTTCTTTAAACTCATATTTTGTTTTGTTGCATTTTGAATTTTTTTAATAATACAAATGAATGACAATTAGTTTTTATTATTTACAACAATTTACTAGTACATTATCTTGAATGATGATTCGTTTTCGAACTTTTAGTAAAAATATAAAATAAATATTAGTTGACTATGTGTATAGTAATGTAATATTCTATAGAAAAGTTGTAAATGAACCACGACTCAAAATAATGTACCAACTAAACCTACTTCCATCGTACTGCGTATGAGAAGAGTATTGTACTCCGTACTTGTACTTGTACCACGATTTAAATAGACCCACGATCCAGGTAACATTGACTTGACTTGCATGGGGCTTACAAACAAATAAAACGCATACTGAACAATTCACCACAATACACAAACACATTCCAACACCGATTAAGTAAATACAAAGGAGCATCCCGCAATTCATATGTAACTAAAGTCCATAAAGAAGCCAAGAACTTCACTCATTCTCAAAGATCATACTCAAACTCATTTCTTCCTTAAAAATTGCACGATTACTTTTTAATCAAACCACCCAAAAATTATTAAAATGACACAACTCCAAAGAATTGGGGCCTTTTTATTTTTTACTAAATCCTCCAAAAGCCAACACAAATAAAGAAATATGATTGTGAGAAATAACCCATTTGATCTTCATTGCCAAAAAAGTAAGTGTGCCACAATCTAAAAGTAAGAAGGTAATGGACAAAGATGTGGTCAATGTTTGTACCCCTCCTACCTGTAATACACAAATTGGGAGATAGGAAAACACCAGGCCTTTTTCGTTGTACTAAATCACAGGTATTTAATCATCTGATGGGAAAAAACCCAAGCAAAAACTTAAACCTTCAAGGGCACTCTGGCGTTTCATATCCTTAGAGTACAATAATATGAGAAAATGGGTTATCAATTCACCACTGCAAGAGTGATTTGCAAAAAAAAAAAAAAAAGAAAAACTCAAAGATTCAAGAGTCCAACATTTTTTAGTAGAAGATAACAAATCCAAACATGCCAAATCAATAGTAGACAATAACAAAGAAAGACTTAAAATTTCCCTATCATGCAGATTTCGTGAAACATATAAATTCCAACCAATCTAAAGAGCATACGAGTGAAACATACTAGTAATTGAACAATTATAACTCCAAGAAAGCCCATGAAGGCAAGAGAACAAAGATGAGGAAGAGAAGTCACCCCATCCAAATGTCAGCCCAAATACATTCTCCCCTCATTGTCCCAATGCAAATAATATAGATTTAGCATGAATATGATTTTTATAGATGAAGTGTGCAAGGTACTAAACTTTGTTGGGAAGGGTGTTGACTCTTAGTAGTCCACAAGAAACAAGTTGGATAATGAGGGTTCAAGATTGTGGTTCTTGAGCATAGAGGGATAATACAAGTCTAGTCGGAGAAAGAATTTTGGTAGATTAAACAAGTTCAAAGAAGGGAACACAAAGAGGAAAGAGGAGGCATGTGTAGCGTGGCATCTCTTGGAAAAATGCTATAAAGGGACTCTTTTCTCATGGCGAATAACAAAGGTGCAACAACTGGGAAAGGAGGTAAGAAGAGAGACCAATAATAAAGTATGATGGTAGAGTTCTTATTTTTTGTATTAGTCATATTTAAT